TGTTGATTGGTGGGTATAATAAATATTTTCGTCTTGCTCGTTTTCTGTTTCTATTGAAGATTGTTCGTCGAAGAATTTGTATTCTCTATATTGAAAAATCAATTTTGTCTGTCAGGAGTCCCTCTACTACTAATAGTTGAAACACCACTCATTGGTTGCCAGTCAGAACGTTGTATTGGTCTCGAAAATTGCTGATTAACGCTATTACTTATGTAATTTGGATTTTGTTGTTGTTGCAAATTATTATTAAAATTTTGTTGATTGAACTGAGATGGATGACTTCCATTAGATTGATAATTATTAAGTTGTTGTTTGTTTTGATTGAAGTTATTTCTAGGAAAATTTCGATTTTCGACTTTGATTTTGATTTCGATTTAGATTTTGATTTCGATTTTGGTTTTGATTTCGATTTTGATTTGTATTTTGATTTTGTTGAGAAGAATTATTATTTCTATTGTGTTGTCTGAAATGTCTGTTATTATTTTGCATTGAATTTTGGAAATTGAAATTATTACTTCAGATATGGTTTATGTTATCATCTTTTGAAATTATTCGCTTAAAGAACAAACTTCGCGGCTTCTCAATATTGTACTGTATGGTTGCTTTACGTGAGCTATGAAAACTGCTAAAGCACTTTTTTGGAATCTGTCGCATGGGTCATTTAAAATATGTGGATTTGTCATGTGAAGGCATGAGTAACTATTAAAAATGCTTATTAACTGTTCAAATCTCACGTAAAATTCATATACTGTTTCATTTGGTCCTTGACGCATATTATGTAAGTCAAAACAAATAGATGTACCAACTCGTTGGTCATTGAATTTAGTTATCAAAACTGTTATTACATCGTCTATTTCTTGCATTTGCAATTGCTACTGCTAATTTTGCTTTATCGTGCAATTTTGTTGAAATCGCGCTTCGTATTATTTCATTCTGAATACACGATGTATTCGCCCTGTCATAATATCTGTTTTTAATTTCTCTTATTCTTGTTGAAGAATTACCTCCGTAATATGGAAGTGTATCAATCAGAACATGATCGAATTTTGGTACGCTTTGTAAAGACATTTTTTTTAAATTTTTTATTAAACTTTCTAATTCAGAATCGCTACCACTTTCCATAAACTAACTCTCGTACATGGAATTATTTGTTGAAATGGTTCGTAATTTTCTTTAATGAAAATTTTGTGGCACTTGTCGCATCGTCTGCAAGTCTGATTGAATTTACATTTAAGGGTAAGTTCATCAGTAGCTTACAAAAAAAGGGATTTTTCAGTATTTTTTTTGAACATGAAAACAACAAGAGAAACAAAAGATCTTTTGCATAGTTTTGAACACATATTTATTCAACAAAATAAAGTTTATTGTATGTCAAAATAAATAAAATTGGCTGATTTATAAACAATCTTGCGCAGCAGCTCGCGATTGGTTTTGATTTCGATTTTGATTTGTATTTTGATTTTGTTGAGAAGAATTATTATTTCTATTGTGTTGTCTGAAATGTCTGTTATTATTTTGCATTGAATTTTGGAAATTGAAATTATTACTTCAGATATGGTTTATGTTATCATCTTTTGAAATTATTCGCTTAAAGAACAAACTTCGCGGCTTCTCAAAATTGTGCTCTGCGGTTGCTTTACGTGAGCTATGAAAACTGCTAAAGCACTTTTTTGGAATCTATCGCATGGGTCATTTAAAATATCTGGATTTGTCATGTGAATGCATGAGTAACTATTAAAAATGCTTATTAACTGTTCAAATCTCACGTAAAATTCATATACTGTTTCATTTGGTCCTTGACGCATATTATGTAAGTCAAAACAAATAGATGTATCATCTCGTTGGTCATTGAATTTAGTTATCAAAACTGTTATTACATCGTCTATATAACTCAAACTCCGTGCAAGGTACAGCCCGTAATTTTTATCTGAAACAAAAAATGGAAATACTTCTTTATTCAGAAGGCTTTTCTGCACATCATAGACTATTATGGTGGTTCAAAGTTGAAATTTAAACATTTTTAACATTTTTTTAAAAAAGTACTGGATTTTTAGGGCTTTTTTAAGGAGTAATTGCGTTAACAACATTGTAAAATGAAAATTTTCAATACATGTTTTTAGTTCAATCTATGGACAATAAAATTATCTAAAAAACGGTGTCTTACTTGTATATGTAGCTTTAATGGTTCATTTTTAATCGTGCACGGAATTTTAAAAAAATTGGTTGTCGGAAAATAAGCTTTAAAGTTTAAAGAAGGAAAAAAATCAAGTTAAAGGAAACTTATAGGCATGAGATGTTAATCAGCTATACCCGGTCCGTACAGCAATCCTTCTGATTCCTCAAAAAAGCCATTTTTTGCCTGTTCCTCCGCTCTACGTGCGATACGAGCCTCTTTCGAGGCGGCGCTGTGTCGCTCAGGCGCGCGCTTGTCGGTTGTCATCCACCGCGTCGGCAAACATTTTGCACTGCTGGCCTATAGTCACGTCCAGCAAGTTCATCACCATCAAGATTGCAACGTATCCCTCATTGAAAACCCCGGTAGCAATAAACGTGGCAATGTCTACGATCAGTTTACCGGAATTCAGGTGTTTCGGTGCCATACGCCACACCGTTGCGTTGAATGATTCATTGGCGTTTTGCGTATGCCCACCCAAGCATTTCGTGAGGAGTTCTTCTTTCGACAGATCTTCATAAATTGGGAGAATCACTTTTTCAATATCAGGCTGAATAACTCGCTGGGGGTGCCGGTAAGATTTCAGTGCTTTTGCTGCCTGCGCTTTACGCCAGTGTCACACCAGCTGGCGGCGCCCGTAGGACAATTTTCATGCCTCGGATTTTTGTCAGTGGAACAGTAATGGTATAAAGTGGCCATCACAGCTTTTTCATGTTTTTCACTGAATCAACATTTCTCGTAATTGCCAGACCGTAGTATTTGGTCAGTTTCTTGATTAGTACGTCCGTCAATCGCCCTCTGCCACTAAGTTTTGCTTCTTTTCGTATATTTTGAAGTCTGGTGCCCATTCGTTTAGCAACGTGACCAACACACTCGCTTTTATTTATTGATTATTTCTCAAAATTATTTATGGATTATTTTTCAAAATCGAAGCATATGTCTTTGAATCTCCGTCGCTAATATAATTCATATACTTCACTCCAAATTTTTCCTCCGATCTGTTAAACATTTCGTTGATTGCATCAACTTCCATCTTCCCTGCCCAACCCTCGTGAGTGTTCGAACAGTTTTCTTGGTGGCTTTCGTACCACGTCTCGTACTCTTCTGTATCTTTTTTTGTACTCCAGGTTACGCAGGCTTGACAAAAAGAACATTTCACTATTGCGTCGAGAACTTTTCCACTATAGTAACCGATTAGCGTTGTCACACCGTAATGAGATGTGAATCCCCTTTTTTTCCACGGCCCGTCTCCAGAAACTTTGAGGTGAGATTCGAATCTTTCCTATTCTACATTTTTTATTTCTTCTCTTCAACAGCTTTTTTGGTCAACGCTTCGAACACACTAGTTGTCGCGGCGTGAATGTGTTTCACCGAGTTATCGTACGCGTGTTTTGAAAGTCCTTTGCAAATGTCCATCATACCACAACAAATGTTTATTCCTTCGAGTCCGACACCAAGCAAACGCATCACAAACACAATTCGACGGTTAATTTCATAACCCGAGTGAATTTTGGGCCCTGATAAAATTTTTCGTTGACCGCACGCACACGAAACGACAAGTTAAAAGCCCAAGCCCTGCTGATCACATTCCGCGAAAGTCACAGCGGTTTTGCAAATTTGACACTGAAGGAATTCTTGAAGTTCGCCGAAAACCGCCAAAATTAATAATACGGTAAACGCTGAGCGGATCCACGGGCACATTTTTCGCGCTCGCACTTTGCAATTTACGGGCGGTGGCACTATCGATCGGATTTGTGACGTCGGCGTCGTTATTTTTCGTAAACCGATTCGCGTAAAACTTTTGTTTTCGCTGCCGCGAAGCTCGATCTTTAGAAACGGTATTTCCTTTGCGCGTGTTCATGACTTCTCTCGTCGAGGATTGAAGCTACTCTGACGCGTCGAAATTTGGAATCGCCGAACATAATTTATTCAGACACTTGCTAGAATACACTAATACAAACACACAAGGCTGGCATCCCATTCTTCGGAATTTCTGTCAAAGCAATGACAAAGGAAAAAAACGGTGAAAGGGTTCTATGAACACAATAAAGGAGACACCCGCGCGGAACACGGGGGCCGCGCGGCTGACTCGCGCTTGCCCCACGCGCGACTCTACTCGGACCTGTAAATCCTAAACTAAATTGAGTTGGACTCTCAAACTTTGCAAGAATATTCTTAAATAATAAATCTAACGATTGAAGCAAAAAAAAAATCGATTTTTTGAAACTGACTGATGAGGAGACTTCCTTAATGGGTAAGTGTGTAGATTCTAAGCATTTCTCACAATGGAGATTAAGTTTTAATATTTCCTGCCGTTGTGCTATTGGTTCTTAAATTTAAAGCAATTATATACATGATGACCTTTCAATTTACAATATATACATAGTTTGTACTGTTTATCTTGAGACACTATATTTACTGATTTGATTTTTGCTCCGGAATGTTCTATCTTATCAGTCTTGGTTGCTGTTTCAAGAAATTTATAAAATTTGTTTAATGTAGGCAGCTCTCCTTCTTGCTGTGATAGACTCCAAGCTTAACGAGTATGGTGATCTAATTTATTTGTGAGCTGAAAAACTAAAATTATATCCCAGTAAATTGCATCTTGGTGAATTGTTGCTAGTGACTGCGCCTGTTGCCTCGCTTGGTTCAAAAATGATTGTAGATTCTCGTGTGAACCTCTTAGTATAGGTTTTATATCATTTAGAGATTGTAGGTGTGATGTAATTGTCAAATATTTTTTGTTATATCTATCTTGCAGTAAATTATATGCCGTGTTGTAATTTTCATTGGTCATGGAAAGATTTCCTATTAAGTCAGATGCTGGTCATTTTAATGTCCCTTTTAAATAATGAAGCCTTTGAACGTCTGATAATTGCTCATTGTTGTGTATAAGTGAATTATAGATATCTATGAATGAATTCCATTCTGAATAATTTCCACTAAATTTCGGTAAATTTATGTCTGGAAGTTTGATATTAACTTGCCTATGTTTCAAATCTATATTTGGTTTATTTTCATTTAAGCTACTTTCTAAAATATCTTCAATTTGAGCTGACAATTCAAAATGTAAATCAAATAACTCCTCATACTCTCTTGAGTAACTTACTGGACATCTAACATCTAATTCTGTTTGATTTTCTTCTGAACTTTGAAGAATCTTTACTAATTTCTTTTTTCTGAGGCTTAAGCCATGTTTGCTATCTCCTTCTTGAAAGTTATTAATAAAATTTTGAATAAGCGCGATGGATTTTATTAATCGAGCCCTTTGTTGTTTGAGCGTCTCAATGTCCGCCATTTTAAATTTTACAAGAAACTCACGTGTACATTTAACGATAGTTTATATATAAATTTGCTACCGCAATTTGTTTAAATCAGTAGTTTTTGTATGTATTGGAAAAAATATATTGATATATAATAGGAATTTGTCCCTAATTTCTATACCGATTTATAAATTAACCACAATGACAAAGTATACCGTACATAGACTAAACTTTACAAACAATAATACTAAGCAATTTTGAAATGGTTTTAGACTAATTGTGGATTTACTTGTATTTCCAATTGTGATCTTTAGTTATAGTTTTCCAATTCCAGTGAACTCCTGGCGACGCTTCCAAGCTTTAATGGCGGCTTCTCAGGTTCCCGGGTTTTCATTCACGTAGAGCTTTATTTGGCTTCACTTTTAGACGAACTCGCAAATATTTAATTGTAAAGCGTGGACTGTAATTTTTAATGACTGGATCCGTGTCGATAGACCAAAATGTATATTAAACTTAAATGAAACGTCGATGCTGTCTTAGCCATGTATTTTTAACAACTATATTTTACATAATAATAAGGAATAAAATTAAAAGCTCAAAATGTCGGGTCAAAAGCCCCCCTACCAGATTTTGGTTATTTGTAAAGTACACCGTTAGATGGCGACTTAATTAATTATATTTTATCCACTTTGTAACTGTCATGTAAAATATAAGAGGAATTCCGTTTGTTGTTTCAAGAAGTATTAAGGGATATAAGTAACAACTCAACTATCCTTCTAAGGTCACAATTTTTTTCAATATATAGGATGGAAGGATTTGACATTTTGAAAGTATGGTTCAAGTTAATCATATGTTCTGATAGCACAGTTTTGAATTGATTTGGGTTTTTAGAATTATATATATATATTGATTAACCCTTTTGTTTATATATTGGGAACTTTCCCCAATGTAACAACTATTGTAATCAATGCAGTCCAAGGGAGTTTTTGATTTAAGAGCAGAAAAAAGGCAACTGAACGTGCTGTCGAAACTGAAAACTAGAAGAATATATTCAGCGGCAAATAACTTTTTTAAAAAAATAAAAAAAAATACTAAAGAAAGGTAAACAAATAACACGTTTATATTTATCTGAAGAGAAAGAATTAGATTTTGAAAAAGAATTGTTAAGGTAGGAAGAACCGTTCAAATTGTTTTGTAAAAACTCTAATCTATTTTTAATGACGTTATTAACTAAATATGAAGGATAAGAATTATTATTCTAAACAGAACGAATTAAAGATAGGTTTTTTCCCAAAAAAAAACTTATTACTTAACAAAATTGCCCTATCTATTAAGGAAATGATAGCTGAATTTTTGATAGATCGAGAGTGATAGGAAAAATAATTTAAATATCGTCCTGGCCAAGTTGGCTTTTGGTACCAGTCAGTGAGGATGACATTATTGTTTCTGATAAGTTTTAAGTCTAGGTAACTAATAGAGTTACTAACCTCAAGTTGATAAGTAAACTGCAAATTTTTATTAAACGAATTAAAAGAATTTAAAGTGTGTGATACATAATTCGAAATTATTTGTTTTTCCATTAAATAGAAAAAACTAAATATAATACTATAAAGTTTTAAATATAATATACATATAAAATAATATAAAAATATAACAAAAAATACAATAATACAAATATTTGTTTATTTATTAGGTTAGTGACTTTTATTTGGCTTTGTTTCTTGTTCGACAGTAATTGTATATTCGTAATAAGCTTCGACACATTTTTTCACATTTTTAGTTGACTCTCTAATGTGCATGTGTAATTTGCGTTCGTAAACTTGTATTTATTTTTAACGTGAGGGAAAATGTTATCTCGTAACAGTAGGTACTTCCCAAGCGGGAAAGTAACCGGCGATCGTGTTCTCGAAGGCTACAATAGTAATTAGAAATAAACTCTACCATTTAGTATTATATGGAAAAAGGCCGCACAAGAACCTCGCTATGAACACTAAAAAACTTGAATGGTTTGCTATTATATTTAATTTGTGCTAAATAAGAGTCAATAATTATGTCATCATCTAACCACTCATTCTCATACAAACTGAAGAAATTATTCTATTTAATGGCATATTATATGCCACCATAGTATATGGTGTATCCTTGTTATACATGAAGGGTTTTTATATAAAAATGACATATTTTTAGTTTTGCCAGCAGAGTTATTCGTGTCGCATTTATTCAATGGAAAAGCATTTTTCCTACATAGGTAAAAATTGACCGAGTTTTTAGATATATTGTTTCATGTTTCCATTGTATATCTCATATCATTAAAAACTTATTTTTATAACTCAGTCAATATTTTTCTGATTAAGTGTACTGGTATCACAACATTGATGATAGCCTTCGGCTGTGAGATGCAAGTAATCATACATTAAGTCTCTCGATATAAAACCTCTATCATCCACAATCTGTTTAAGCATGTGCAATAAATAATTTTTTTTTTTAATTTAAGTCGTTGAATGTAATTAATAGATAATTTATTTCCTGCAGGCAATTGCGCTGAAAGTTTGGTTTTCTCCCTCTTGGCAGCATAGTCGGTAAAATTATGTGCGCATTTGGAAGAACTTCTTCATTGAGGTTTACACAATTCATAATACCTTCATAGATTTCATATGGTTTACAGTGCTCGGTGTTCTTGGTTCCTACCAAAACTACTAATATTTTTAACAAGTTTTTAAATTAAGATAGAATTTGTGTCTAAATATTTTCGATATGGCCATTACTATTAATGGCACATGACGCTTATTGTTTAGCTACCTGCGAAGAAATTAAGCGTTCCGCATAAACCGGTTTGTTTATATTATTTTTGATTACGTCACTATAGCTACGGTCCGAGGTGACTTAGCTTGAGTTGATTGATAAGCCAGGTCGTAAAATTCTAGGTGAAAAATTTGATTCACAGGTTGGCATAGATGAATTAATATTGTTATCGGTTCCGTATTTGCGGGCGTATAGTTCTTGATAACGCTCATAGCCTTTGTAGTTGGATGTATGACCTTGCTTGTAGCATAAGGCACAAGTAGGTACATCGTTCTTATCAATAGGGCAATCTTTTGTGGCGTGGTTCGAGGCGCAGCGGCGGCTGATAAATAACCTGTTGCAGTATCGGCGAGTATGGCCAATCTGTTGGTAGCGTGCACACTGGACTATACGTTTACGCGCGTTAGGAGGTTCGATCTTAATTATGCAGTTGTAAAGCTCGTTAATTTTGTAGATTTCTTTGTTATTAGCTCGTGGTTCCAGATCAACGAAGAATAAGTTGCGCGGTTTGTTTGTAATCCTATTACGCGGGTTCAATATGTTTCTAACCTTGTGTCCGAGATTAGCGAGTGCTGTAGAAATTTCTTCGGTAGTGATTGGTGCAGGAATCTTGTTACCACTCGAAACGCCCTATTCTCTTTCAACTGATACGTGTGGTGTTCAGATTTAGCTTCTGTGAGTTATTTGGCCATTGTTCTGAAGGTGTTCGAATCCTGACATTGGATTTTCACGGTCTCGTCACACAGGCACTTAGTGTAGTACTGATTTTGTTGTATAACTGAGTTTATTTCTTGTTTCATTAATTTAAAATCGTTGACGTTTTAAAAAATAGGCAGTGGCTTTGAGGAGCATGGTTGAGATTAAGAAGAGGTGGTATTGTTTGTTAGCGGTTCGAACCTGTTATGTGTGTTGATTAGAGTATAGGTGTGTTTAAGGGTACCTTTGATCCTTCGTTTTTTCATCTTGTTTCATTGATTGATTATATGGGGAATCACTAGATTCCGTGATGTCTGTATTGTTTAAAACAACCATTGCTTGCTCCACTATTGCTGAGGTATATGATTCATTCAAAACACGCACTAATTTTGATTAATGTTTCACTTTGTTCGCTTAAACTGGCACAATAAAACGAAAAATAATTGCAAATATTTACGTCCGATCTACTCGAGTTATATACTAGTTGTTGAAGCTTCGAGAGCTGAATGACTACTCTTATGCTAATATAATGCTTATTTATTGGATTCCTTGCTTGATCTATGACAAATCTTAATGAAACATTTCTACTGATTGTAATTTCTTAATATTATTTTTGTTTGTCGTACACCAAATAGGGGAAGCATATAGCATTGCGGATCTAATTTTTGTCATATCAATTCTTTTTTATTTTCAATATTAATAGAACTGTTATAATTTAGCAATGGGTATTGTAAGCGCCCGACGCAATGTTTGTTAAAAAAAGTAAATTAAACAGTCACTACACATGGACACTTTACTACTTCGAAGGACCAGATATAATTTATTATTAAAATGGCTATATCAGACCTTTAAAAATAAGTATGTTCAATAAGTTGGTTTAGTTATTAATAGTATTTATTTCTTTGATGTTCACGGTTCAAGTTATGCGCACAGAATGAGGATTTTTTAAAAACTATCTTAGTACCTAGAGTAGGGTAGGAAATTATTTTATTATAGAGTAGAGGGAGTTTTGTATATAAATATTTGTGCTGTTGCTGCCAAAATAGACCTTTTATTTATTGTTTGTCTTAACGTTATATTATCCGTATTGGAATTAAAACAGTCAGTTAATGCGTTCCACGATATACCTAAAGTTTTGACAGTTTGATCGCCTATGTTCAGTCAATAAGTCGTCTATGTAAAAATCATTTCGAATAATATCGCATTCTTCTGGATATTGAATTACATTTTCTTTGGCTAATTGTTCTAAACATCTGATTGCTAAAAACGGTGCAGATTCAGTTCCGTATGTAACAGTATTTAGGTCATAAATTTTTATGTGAGTTATTCCGCCAAGATATTCGCTGCATTTTTTTATCATTTTCATGAACCAGAACTTGTCGATACATCTTCTTTGTATCGGCAGTAAGAACAAATTTGTGTTTTCTAAATTTTAATAATATAGAGAATATGTCGTTTTGTATAGTAGGTCCGACAAGTTGTAGTTCATTGAATGAAAGGCCGTTATCAGATTTGCACGATGCGTCAAAGACAACGC